AGACATTGAGTGAAGTCTCCTGTCATGGCCTAGCTTTTCTAAAGCCTGATAATACAGCAAAGATGAAATGCTGGATCCTTATTCCATTTTAGATCCCTTGTATTACCATATGCTCCTTAGCTGAGCTTTAACCTGTACAAAAACTAGTGTAGCTCTGATAACGGCAGTATTACAGCTAAAATTGATTAGCAGGTGTTTATGGGCTCTTTATAGTAAACAGTGAGGTCTAATGAAGTGTATTACAACTGTCCTTGTGTTAGTTGTGTACACAGTTTTAAGTTACTGATTGAAGTCTGGATGGGGCAGCCTATTCACATCACAGAACAGATAAAATACTCAAACCAGCTTGTATATAATAGTGGGATTGCTCCACAGTTTAAAAGCTCTTTTCCCTTTAGGACTGACCCCTCAAGTGTGCTTAAGAGGGTCACATTCTCAGGGTATTTATGCCAGAGAAATCTCTTTGTGAACTTGAGTAGTGCCAAATACTTCACTATAAGAGTTGCTTTTGTTACAGGTCAGAGTGTTTCCTGTCTGTCACATCTAAGACATAGCTCCACTGTAATTCTGACCATCTTTGGCAGTCTGTTTCCATGGTGTCTGTTCCCTCATTTGTCCATATATAGCAAAAGCCTGGTTGATGATGGGGGGTTGCCCACAAATACGTTTTAAGGAATAAGCAAATGAGTGTTTCTAATTTAAGGTCATTTTTCTGGCTTTAAGACTAAACTAATGTTGTCATGGTCTCTCAGACCACTTAATGTCCAGGCTGTGCAATGTGAAGCTGTGATGTGAAGGTCATGAGTCGAAGCTACAAATGTAAAACCACACAAGGCAGACAGTAGTCACCTCTCGCTGGTCACTTAAAACAAAGAGCCATATTGGGCATATTAAAAACAGCTACGTGTAGTATGTCTCACTCCCTACGTGTCACCTCAGTGGCAGCCATCCCTCCCCAAAACTAAACAACAATGAACAGCAGCAGTCATTGGATAGGATTCAAAACATATATACACTACATACCTTATTTCTTCCTCGCTCTTTGAGCTTTCAAACTTCAAATAGACAAAACTGCTGTTATCTGATATCAAATGTCAGCGAGC